ATCCCAGGATCAGGACCTGAGCCGAATGCAGGCGCCCACCCGCTGAGCCACCCAGGCAACCCCAAAATTCACATAATCTTTAACACAGCATTCATTTATAGGAAATGAATCTATAGCTAAACTTGTGCGCAATACCAGTGTACCAGGATGTTCGCTGAAGAATTAGTAGGGGTAATAAAGCCTGGAAACAGCCTGATTGTTTATCAATAGGTAACTATTTAGATAAGCTATGGGACATCCAAATAGAGGAACACTATGTAGCTGTTTAAAAGAACAGTTTTGTATATATTAAGACAGAATGCTCTATAAGATGTATCTTTTTTTTTTTTAAATCTTATTTATTTATTCATAGAGACACAGAGAGAGAGGCAGAGACACAGGCAGAGAGAGAAGCAGGCTCCATACAGAGAGCCCGACGTGGGACTCGATCCAGGGTCTCCAGGATCACACACTGGGCTGCAGGCTGTGCTTAGGCGGTGCTTAACCGCTGCACCACCGGGGCTGCCCTATAAGATGTATTTCAAAGTGAATGAAGCAGGGTGCCGAAGAGTATCTGGCTCTTAGTTTTGCTGGGATCATGATCTCAGGGTCCTGTGATCAAACCCTGCTTTGGGCTTCATCCTCAGCAGGGTAGTCTGCTTAACTACCCTCTCCCTCTTCCTCTGCCCCTCCCCCTGTTCTCTCTCTCTCTCTCTCAAATAAATAAATATCTTTAAAAGAAAATAAAGTGAACAAAGCAAGATATGGTATGTTACTGTTTAAAAATTCTAAATTTAAAAAAAAAAATTCTAAATTTAGGGTGCCAGTATGGCTCAGGTCATGATCTCAGGATCCTGGGATCCAGCCCCACATTGAGTCCCACATTGGACTCCCTGCTCAGAGGGGAGCCTGATTCTCCTTCTTCCTCAAAGTTTACCCCTGCATGTGCTCTCTCTCTGTCTCGTTCTCTCTCTCATATAAATAAAATATTTTTAAAATAATAAAAAATAAAATTTATAATTTTGATTTTATTTTTAATTGTTATAATTGACAATAAAATTGTAAGATATTTAAAGTGTACAATGTAATGATTTGATACACGTATTTTATTTTTAAATTATGGAATTAATGTGTACACTCTGCGGAGACGAGTCCATTTCCTATTTATTTATTTATTTATTTATAAAGATTTTACGTACTTATTTGACAACGCATGCACACCCAGGGGGAGTGGCAGGCAGAGAAACAGGGAGAAGCAGACTCCCCGTTGAACAGGGAGCCCAATGTGACGCTCCATCCGAGGACCCTGGGATCATGACCTGAGCAGAAGACAGATACTCAACTGACTGAGCCATCCAGGCGCTCCCCATTTCCTCTTATTTTTTTTTTTTTAAGATTTATTTATTAATGAGAGACACACAGAGAGAGAGAGAGAGAGAGAGGCAGAGAAGACACAGGCAGAGGGACAATCAGGCTCCATGCAGGGGGCACAATGTGGGACTCCATCCCAGGACTCCAGGATCATGCCCTGGACCAAAGGCAGGTGCTAAACCGCTGAGCCACCCAGGTGTCCCTTGTCTTTTTTTTTTTTTTTTTTTGTCCTTCTCTTTTTTTAAAGATTTATTTATTGGGGCATCTGGATGGCTCAGTCAGTTGAGAATCTGGCTCTTGGTTTCAGCCCGGTTATGATCTCAGGGTCCTGGAATCGAGCCCCACCTTGGGGTCCATGCTTAGTGAGGAGTCTGCTTGTCCCTCTCTCTCTCTGCTCCTCCTCCACCCCACGCGCTTTCTCTCTCCCTCTCTCTCTTAAGATAAAGGGGGAAAAGTTATTTATTTATTTGTTTGTTTGTTTGTTTGTTTGTTTATTTATTTGAGAGAGAAAGGAAGAGAAAGAGTGTGTGAGGCAGGAGGGAGAAGGGACAGAGCGAGAGTGAGAGAGAGAATATCAAGCAGACTCCCAGTTGAGCGTGGAGCCTGACACCAGGCTCTAGGCAGGATCAATATTACCACCCTGAAATCGCTAACAGAGCAGACCCTAACCAACTGACCCACTCAGGCACCCCTCTACTTGTCCTTCTTTAATGATACTCAAAATATCCCTTAGCATTCTTTCATCTTTAAAAACCTAATTCTCTTCTTCAGTGTTCTTACTTTTGATAAGGGTTTCCTCTAGCCTGAGCAGTCAGGCCCATCCTCCCCTATTTCTCTGAGGGCTTATCACTGAAACAGCCTGCATGTCCCCTGGCACAGTGAGGCACAGGAGAGAGCACCAGGTTCCTGGATTCCAAATGCTTGACTTCAATACTCCCTTATCACTGGCAAGAGTAGCCAGTGCCCTGAGACCTGATTACGCCTCCCCAGGAGCTGGAGTGAGGATTCTGTAGGTACAAGAGGAACTGCCCACCAGAGTTTGTGTCCTCCCTTTCTAGAACATTTCCTGAGACCCCAGAATTCCCTTCCAAAATATCCCTAAGCTCCTTTGCAAAGCCTTTGTGGGTCCCATCCATGGGTTCATCTCAGCTGAGGATAAGCTACACTGCCTAATACACACCTTATAGCTCTGAGGTTTAGTTATCAAAAGTAGCTGCTTGCAAGACACAGCTTGGATATGGGGGCTGAGTTGTCCACTCGTGCACGCTCGGTCACTCACTGATGGGATGGGAGATAGCTGGACAAGAGCAGAAGGCAGGATCCAGTAGCTCTTCTTGGGCCAACACATTCTGGCACAGAACTCCAGGGGTCCTGGAATTCTAATTCGAACTTGGCTTTCCAGGTTTTTTGGAGGGTATATTCGTCAAGATGGAGAAGGAAAAATATTTTATCCAGCACATCAGACGAATGTCTTAACATCTATTTAGAGACATATAGGTCTCCAATTGTATTCTTGTCCCAGGGCCCATAAATGCCCAGGTTTGGTTGTATCATTTCTTAGCTCAGACAAATCACATAACCTCTCTGGGCCTGTTTTCTTACCCGCCCCCACCGCCCCACCCCCCACCCCCAAATGAGCTTAATGATAACTGCCTCATCAGGGATGGTGAGAAAAATGAAGCAATTCATGCAAAGGGCTTGGCTGGGTGCCAGGTCCTCAGCAAACAGTAGCTACCCTCCTTACTTTTCTCTTGTTGGCTCCCCAGCTAGCATCTCCCATGATTTTCTATATGACATCCAAACTGGTGTCTTTTGTAGGATTTCCACAGAGCTCCTCCCTCCTCCCTCTTTACCCCGTAACCATAAGCGCCCCATTCTCTCCACCCAGGCGAATCCCACCCCTCTTCAATTATGAAAACTGCTACCGGTGATTGCACGTTTAGGATGCTTCAGGCATTGTATTAAGAGCTTGACTTGCATTATCTCAACTCGGTTCTGACACCAACTCAATGAGGTATTATTACTCCCCAAACACAAAGACACTGGATCTGGAGCGTTGAAGCACTGGCAGCTGGCAAGTAGCAGAGCCAGCGGGGATGGGAACCGAGGGAGTCTCACTGCCTTGTCAGGTCTTCCAAATACCCAGTCATGATCCCACATGCCGCCCCCTCCCTCGTGCAGCGCACAGGAGACCCCTCTCTCCTGCAAAGGCCGTCATACCCCATTAGTTCTCCGGATCTGTTTGTGGACTTTCAGCCCAATAGGGCGGGCACTTTGTCTCACGCCACGTTGCCCACATCGTGGATCCTCCCTCCGTCTCCCATTTCTCTTCCTCCCTTCCTCCCTCCCATTAAATATTGAGTTCCTACTCTGTGCCAGGCTTTGTGCTCGTTCACATGCAAAGTATCACCAATGAAAAAATCAGGGGAGGATGGACTTTTATGTCATTTTTCTCGTTCTTCTTTATGGCTTTCTGTTTGGCTGATGGGTTCCCCTGGGTGCCCCCCACCCCCCTGGGAGCACGCAGGCCAGGCTCCTAGAACCCAGTTCCAATGCTGCTTTGCTAAGTAGCTTTGGTCGGAGGAAGGCCCTGTCCCCTTAACTCCCAGCCCCCACGCCTCCTTCTCCGGCCCTCAAATCCAGGCCGCCCTGCCCCCTCCGGAAGGGGGAGTTGGGGGCGAATGCCGAAATCTGAGTGGCTCTTTCAAGCCTCCGTTGCTGTAGCAACCGGCTGCACGGGTCGTGGCGGTCCATTACACCATCCTCCGGCGACGCAGCCAATGGGCTCCGAGCTCCATCCCCGGCGCCCCCACCCCGAAGCTGCCCCGCAGCCCACCAATGGGTAGGTCCCTTGGCATAGAGCCCTGCCCTCGGCCCAGGCACACCACCAATGAGCTTCGACCCCGCTCTCCCTGTAGCTTCAATGTAGCAACAAGAGTCGATTTTTCAAAAAAAAAAAAAAAAAAAAAAGGAATTCTCTAAATTAGAAGGAACTAGTAGTAACGCCTCTGTCAGTTGCAGCCTGAATGATCTTTGGCTGGCATTTTATTTAAGGCGAATAAAACTGTTCCAATTACGCGACAATATATGTCATTCTGTACTGAACACTTTTGGGCAATGAAAAATGCAGGCAATGGGGTTGATATCTGCTCTCTGTGGATTTCTTTCATTATAGGTATTTTGATTTAACTTAAAATCATCAAGGAACCAGTCATCTTTCCTTGTTTGTATTTCAAATCCATACAAATTAAAGATGCTGAGTTTTTGATGCTGAGTTCATGAGATATTGACCTATGTAATTGGTAGTCAACTCTTCATTGGTTTAACTCCTGCCTGAATTCCAATAGTAAAACTGTAGGATAAATGAATGTTTATTTTAATCCATTGAAGAAATAACATTTCCAAGGGATGTTGTGTGATGGCTTTGACACTCTAAAGTCTAAAGAAACTAAATGTGTATTTAAAACCTTGTGTCATTAAAAAAAATCTTATTTTTTTATTTTAATTTTTTAAAGTAGGCTCCATGCCCACCGTAGAGCGCAAGGCAGAGCTTGAATTCACGACCCCGACGAGTCCAAGGTTTAATCCACTGAGACACCCAGGTGCCTCCAAAATAAACTTTATTTCTTTTCTCTCTCTTTTTTTTTAAGATTTTATTTATTTATTCATGAGACAGAGAGAGAGAGAGAGGCAGAGACAGGCAGAGGGAGAAGCAGGCTCCATGCAGGGAGCCCGACGTGGGACTCGATCCAGGGACTCCAGGACCACCACACCCAGGGCCAGAGGTAGGTGCCCAGGGCCAAAAGTAGGCACCAAACCGCTGAGCCACCCAGGAATCCTAAACTTTCTTTTTTTTTTTTTTTTTAAGATTTTATTTATTTATTCATGAGAGACACGGGGAGAGAGAGAGAGGCAGAGACACAGGCAGAGGGGGAAGCAGGCTCCATGCAGGGAGCCCTACATGGGACTCGATCCTGGGTCTCCAGGATCACACCCTGGGCTGAAGGCGGCGCTAAACCGCTGAGCCACCAGAGCTGCCCTAAACTTTATTTCTTAAAACAGTTTTACATTTATAGAAAAATTGTGAAGACAATACAAAATTCTTTATCTCCCACCTACCCTGTTTCCTCTGTTAGTAACATTTTATTTTAATATGGTACATTTGTGGGGCACCTGGGTGGCTCAGACGTTGAGCATCTGCCTTCAGCCCCAGGGCGTGAATCTGGAGTCCTGGGATCAAGTCCCACATTGGGGTCCCTGCAGGGAGTCTGCTTCTCCCTCTGACTATGTCTCTGCCTCTGTGTGTGTGTGTGTCTCCCATGAATAAATGAAATCTTTTTTAAAAATATGGTACAGGAGCTTGTAAATAAACCCTCATGTGAAAAAAAATAAAAATAAAAATAAAAAATATGGTATATTTGTTATGATTAATAAACTAATATTGATATATTATTAGTAACTAAAGCTTATAGTTTATTCAGATTTCTTTAGTTTTTACCTGATTTTTTTTCTATGCCAGGACCCCATCCAGGATGTCATATTATCTCATGACTCCTTGGTTCCTCTGGGCCGCAGCAGTTTCTCTCAGACATGAACATGATTTATCACTGTTGGTACTGACCTTGACCACCTGGCTGAAGAGGAGCTTGTCAGGTTTCTCCACTGGAAAATTACTTTTCGTTTACCCTTTTTCATTCTATCTTCTTTGGAAGGAAGTGAATTAATATGCTCAACCCACACCTAAGGATGGCAGTTATGTTAACCTCCTTAAAGGTAGAGTATCTACATAAGTTATTTGGAATTATTCTGGAGTGAAGATTTGTCTTTTCTACTTATTATTCGGTTATTTATTTATATCAGTATGGACTCATGGATATTTATTTCATATTTTAAGTTATAATCCAATACTACTTAATTTTGTTGCTCAAATTGTTCCACCTTTTGCCTTCGGGAGCTCTTTTAGTTAACACCTGTTTTCCTTGGACATACCCCCATCGTTGTATACCCTTTCGTCTTCTTCTTGATCTTGGGAACCTCCTTCTTTCTGGCATTATATGATACTTCAGGCTTATCTTGCATATTTCCTGCTCAGGTCCTAGAATCAGCTGTTTCTCAAAAACCCTGATTCCTCCCATTGGAGAATGGTATTATAAACTAAGATCTGGATGCTAAGTATGCTCATTGCTACTGAGGTGTCATTTCTTTTAAGCCTTCAAAACTAACAGAACAAAGAAATATATATGTATATACTAACCTGTTTGTAAACACATATCTATAAATATTTCTGTATGTAACCATCTGTATCTATATTAAACTAAACATGAGTTTATATTTATATTTTGCTATTCTAATCCATTAGCACATGAGTCATTATAACCTTCTCTCCTTGCTTATCTGTAAATTCCCACTCCAACAGTGAGAAACTTGGCTCCTACTATCCACCATCCATTTACCTAATTGTTCAACTCCAGTGTACATGTGCAGCAGTATCAGGATTGTTGACCCATATCCCTGTGGGAAACTTTATCAACTAGAATGCAGTACTTCTGTACACTTTCTGTGGCTTTTAGTTTTACAGGATCCACTTATTTCTTTTTTTTTAAGATTTTATTTATTTATTCATGAGAGAGAGAGAGAGAGGCAGAGACACAGGCAGAGGGAGAAGCAGGCTCCATGCAGGGAGCCCAATATGGGACTCGATCCTAGGACTCCAGGATCATGCCCTGGGCCGAAGGCAGGTGCTCAACCGCTGAGCCAACCAGGCGTCCCTCTCTGGATGCTTGAAATTATTTTTTAAAAATTCACCTGCATTAGCATTTACTCTTTAAGTTGTACACGTCTATGGGTTTTGACAAATGCATAATATATTCACCATTATAGTATCTTACAGAAGAGTTTTATCACTCTAAAGTGTCTTCTGTGCTTCATCTATTCAATTCTCTCTCTCTCTCTCAAACGTTAATAACTATAGGTCTTTTTTTCTAAGATTTTATTTATTTATTTGAGAGAGAGTGTGAGTGAGTGAGTGAGTGAGTGAGTGAGAGAGAGAACAGAGCAGTGGGGAGAGGCAGAGGGAGAAGGAGACTCCTTGCTGAGCAGGGAACCTGAAGCGGGGCTCAATCCCAGGACTCCAGGATCATGACCTGAGCCAAAGGCAGATGCTTAACTGACTGAGCCACCCAGGTGCCTCCATAGGTCTTTTTACTATCTCTATAGTTTTGCTTTTTTATGCTTTAAAAAAAAAAAAGATTTATTTATGAGAGAGAGAGAGGGTGTGAGGGGCAGACGGAGAGAGAAACTTAAGCAGACTTCCATTCTGAGTGTGGAGCCCAACCTGGGGCTTGATCTCACTACCCTGAGATCACGAGCCAAAATCAAGAGTTGGCTGCCTAACTGACTATGCCACCCAGATCCCCCTGTGCTTTTTTTTTTTTAAGAGAAGATATACAGGAGTATATTTGTTGTTGCTTTTGTTATAGCTACCACTCACTGAATCCTTACCATGTCCCATGTCCTGAACTATTATACTCTCCCATTTTGCAGATAAGAAAATTGAAACAAATGAGTTGAAATAACTCCCTAAAGACTATTAATATTGAACAAATTTTTACTTCAAATCCTGGACACATTGATTGTTTAAAACCCCAGTATTTACATGCTTGACTTCTGAATCATCTAAGGGAGTCCACCACATTTAGCCAGTAAGATGAGTATGACCTACTTCCTGCTTTACCCAAGCAGTCCCAATTTATTTCTGTTGTTATAGCAAAATTATTAATGTGTCCCCTTCATCATAAATTATATGGTTACTGCCAAATGAAAAAGTCTAATGAATTTTAGAGTCAGGTTATAGGGGTAAAAATTATACTCCAGGAGATGAGGGGATGTACCAGTGGTGTGTGATTTCAGAGTCACCAGGCAGGACCTGCTATCCAGATCAAATCCCCTCTGCCATCCAGTCACCTTCCACTTTTTTCTCCCAATCTGATTAATCCCCATTCCATCAGTCATGCTGGTGCTGTTAGTATTCATGAGAGACACACAGAGAGAGGCAGAGACATAGGCAGAGAGGGAATCAGGCTCCATGCAGGGAGCCTGATACAGGACCCGATCCCGGACTCCAGGATCACGCTCTGTGGTGAAGGCAGACACTCAACTGCTGAACCACCCAGGTGTCCCATGCTGTGCTGTTAAAATGACTCTGCCACTGTCCTTTTCTGCCCATAGACATGTCCCCAGCTATGGTCTCTCTTTTCTGCCTTGTGCTTCTCTGAGTCTCAAAGTACATCTCATGGATTGGCCATCCAGCATTCCAGCAGGATTTTTAAGGCTCTGGCATTTCACAAAGAAGTAAAAAAAAAAATTCTCCCCATTCAAAAAAAATAAAACCCACATTTTAAAACTTTGGAGTTAAAAAACAAAACAAAACAAAAAACTTTGGGGTAAGCAAAAGATTGTCAACTTTTTATTTTGCTAAAATGAGAAAAACCTCCATCTTCTATATTAGTCTAGTCTTTTGGAAATATAATGTAAGCCTTAAGTGTAATTTAAAATTTTCCAGAAGTCACATTTTAAAAAAATTTTAAAAAGAAAGAAAAAACAGGTGAAAATAAATTTTTAAAGATTTATTTATTTTAGGGCAGACCAGATGGCTCAGCGGTTTAGTGCCGTGTTCAGCCCAGGGTCTGGTCCTGGAGACCTGGGATCGAGTCCCACATCAGGCTCCCTGCATGGAGCCTGCTTCTCCCTCTGCCTGTGTCTCTGCCTCTCTCTCTGTGTGTGTCTCTCATGAATAAATAAATAAAATCGTTTTTTAAAAAATTATTTATTTTAGAGAGGGAAGCACGTGTGGGGGAGGGGCAGAGTGAGAGGGAGAGAGAGAATCCTCAAGCAGACACCCCACTGAGCCCAGAGCTGGATGCGCAGCTCCATCCCAGGACCCTGAGATCATGACCTAAGCTGGAATCCAGAAGCAGCTGCTCACCAACTGAGCCACCCAGGTACTCCAAGTTAAATTAATTTTAATATATTTTATTTAACCCAATATATCCAAAATATTATAATCTCAACATACAACCAACAGAAAATGTATTAATGTAATATTTTATACTTTTTATGCTAAGTCTTTGAAAACGAATGACAGTCTTGCACTCTAGCATATTTCAATTTGGACTAGCCGTTTTTTAGTGCTCAAGAGCCCCATGTGTAGTTCTAAACTATTATTTGGTAAAAGAAAGATTCATTGTACACACACACACACACACATACACTTTCATGATCTCTGGTGTTTTTTTTTTCTTTTAAGATTGATTTATTTATTCATGAGAGACAGAGAGAGAGAGGCAGAGACACAGGCAGAGGCAGAAGCAGGCTCCATGCAGGGAGTCTGATGTGGGACTTGATCCTGGACCCCAGGATCAAATGCTGAGTCCCAGGCATCCCCATAATCTCTAAATTTTAAAGAAGACATTTAGATAAATCAAAAAATGAATTACCTTGTTCTTACTGTTCTCTTTCTGCATTAAGAAAGTCCTTGATGACCATGCCAGTTCACAGACTGATGTTTTATTTTATTTTTTTAATATATTTTTTCTTTATTTATTTATGATAGTCACACAGAGAGAGAGAGAGAGGCAGAGACACAGGCAGAGGGAGAAGCAGGCTCCATGCACCGGGAGCCCGACGTGGGATTTGATCCCAGGTCTCCAGGATCGCGCCCTGGGCCAAAGGCAGGCGCCAAACCGCCTCGCCACCCAGGGATCCCCGAGACTGATGTTTTAGAGTAAGACACAGTTGGGATGGGTGGAGTTGCAAGATGGTATATGGGTTGGTTCCTTCCTCCCTTTGAACTCCTATTGAGAGTCTGTGTTGTGTGAAGATCTGCTAGATGCGGGATGCCTGGGTGGTTCAGTGGTTGAGCATCTGCCTTCGGCTTGGGTCATGATCCTGGGATCCTAGGGTTGAGTCCCATGTTGGGTTCCCTGCAGGGAACCAGTTAGCTTCCTGAGCACTGTGTCTCCAGACCCTTGGGTACAACATATGTCTCTGTTTAAACAGTAGATTCAAAATAAGCAATGATAGCACAGATTATGAGGCTGAAGATTCAGAATTTGAGTTGTTTCAACTCTGTCATTCAATATGACCAGGTGAAGCTTTTGTATTTAAGTTAAAATAGTGAAACAAAGAGCGAACTACAGTGTGGTACTGCAAATTTTATTATTTAGTAAAATTGTATTATTATACTATATACTATATTGTATTACATTTTATTACAATTTTCATTTGATAAAAATTATGCATTTTTTGTTTTTAAGTAGATTCCATGCGCACTGTGGGGCTTGAACTCACAACCCTAAGATCAAGAGTCACATGTTCTACTGACTGAGCCAGCAGGTGCCCCTGATAAAATTTTGCTTTACAGAATTTGAATTATTTATTTATTTATTTATAGAGATTTTATTTATTATTTATTTATTTATTTATTTATTTATTTATTTATTTATTTATTTATTCATAAGAGACACAGAAGGAGAGAGAGAGAGGCAGAGACCTAGGCAGAGGGAGAAGCAGGCTCTATGCAAGGAGCCCCATGTGGGACTCAATCCCACATCCTGGGATCATGCCCTGAGCCAAAGGCAGACAGATGCTCAACCGCTGAGTCACCCAGGTGTCCCTGAATAATGTATTTAATCTTAAAATCAATTCTTAGGGCACCTGGGTGGCTCAGTGGTTGAGCGGCTGCCTTTGGCTCAGGTCGTGACCCTGGGATTGAGTCCTGAATCAGGCTCACCACAGGAACCCTGCATCTCCCTCTGTCTCTGCCTTTCTCTCTGTGTTTCTCATGAATAAATAAAAATCTTTTTTTTAATTGATTATTTTTAAACAATTTTTACTATTTTATTTATTAATTCGTGATAGACATAAAGAGAAAGGCAGAGACACGGGCAGAGGGAGAAGCAGGCTCCATGCAGGGAATCTGACTCCGGGACTCAATCCCGGGACTCCAGGACCACGCCCCGGGCCAAAGGCAGGCACTGAATGGCTGAGCCACCCAGGGATCCCCTGATTCTAAATTTTAAAGTGTTTTCTTGGAGGGGGGCATCTGGGTGGCTAGTTGGTTAAGCATCTGCCTTTGGCTCAGGTCATGATCCCAGGGTCCTGGGATGGAGCCCTGCTCAGTGGGGAACCTGCTTCTCCCTCTCCTGCTCCCACTGCTTGTGCCCTCTCTTTCTCCCTGTCAAATAAATAAATAATTTTTTAAGAAGTGTTTTTCTTGTTTTTAAACCATAATGTGACATAATTATCATTGCTCACTATGTATGCTTATTTTATTTTTTAAAGAATATATTAATGTAATTGAAAACTATTGATTTGATACTCTTCCTTTTTTTGTATTGTAATGTTTATTTTTGCTGACATGATTACATATAAAAAGTTCAAAAAAAGGATATTTTAACCATCTACATTTCTTTTCTGGCCATTATCCTTAGTATTGTTTCTTGCATTTTATGACCGTTCTTGAAGATATTGTCATTCAGAGGATGTGGGTGTTAAAAGTTATCTGTCCTGGGATGCCTGGGTGGCAATGTGGACGTTAAAAAGTTATGTCCTAGGGATCCCTGGGTGGCGCAGCGGTTTAGCGCCTGCCTTTGGCCCAGGGCGCGATCCTGGAGACGCGGGATCGAATCCCACGTCGGGCTCCCGGTGCATGGAGCCTGCTTCTCTCTCTGCCTGTGTCTCTGCCTCTCTCTCTCTCTCTGTGACTATCATAAATAAATAAATAAATAAAAATTTAAAAAAAAAAATAAAAAATAAAAAATAAAAAGTTATGTCCTGGGATTCCTGGGTGGCTCAGTGGTTTAAGCATCTTGATTTTTTTCTTTTTCTTTTTTTTTTTAAGATTTTATTTATTTATTCATTTAAGAGAGAAGCAGAGACACAGGCAGAGGGAGAAGCAGGCTCCATGCAGGGAGCCCAATGTGGGACTCGATCCCAGGTCTCCAGGATCATGCCCTGGGCCGAAGGTGGCGCTAAACTGCTGAGCCACCTGTGATGCCCTCTTGATTTTTTTCTTAAGTCATTATCTTGGGGTTGTGGGTTTGAGCCCATCAGGCTCTGGGAGGGGTCTGCTTAAGATTCTCTCTCTCCCACTCCCCCTCCCTCTCCCCCGCTATCCCCACACCATTTCCAAAAAAAGAAAAAAAAAAGCTATATGTGGGATCCCTGGGTGGCGCAGCGGTTTATCGCCTGCCTTTGGACCAGGGCGCGATCCTGGAGACCCGGGATCGAATCCCACATTGGGCTTCCGGTGCATGGAGCCTGTTTCTCCCTCTGCCTGTGTCTCTGCCTCTCTCTCTGTGTGTGTGACTATCATAAAAAAAAAAAAAAAAAAAAAAGCTATATGTCCTGAGTGTCACATGAACCATGAACAGGTAGGCCACTGGTGCACTGAAGGAAAGGGACTTAGGGCTAGAAAAGCTACAAGGAGAGAGAAAGAGGTGGGAGTGCTGGAAAGGGTGGGGGAAGGAACTTCACAACATCCTGTGTGGAGAGGCAGCAGAGCTTGTCCCACAAACTGAAGAGGCCAATGTGGCTGTAAGTTGACTGAAGACAAAGAAAGTGAGAGAGGAGGTCAGGTTGTGAGTAGGGGTCAGACCAAGCTTGGCCTGGTGGGCCCCATGAAAGCCTGGTGTTCATCTTGAGAGTAATGGTGAAACCACTGAAGGCTTTAAGAAGAGAAGACACACAATCAAATTCGTGCCTGGAAAATACCATCACTCAGGCTTCAGGGAGGGGAATAAAATGGAAGGACACCTGGTGGGTGCAGGGACCAGAAAGGAGGCTAGCAGGTGACCAGATGAAAGGTGATGTCTTGTTGGGTAGCGGTGGTCAGCATATCTTCAAGAATTTCCTGGTCTTCCTACTGCAGTCTACATTGAACAGCTCAGTGGTGAGCTCAGCCTTGAAAACCTATGGCCTATAAGATTTAGACTCTGGGGCCCCCATTTGAAAGGATTCAGGGTAGTCTGTGTACACTGATAATCATCACATCTCAGTGGCAGACTGGAGTTTTAGGTTTTGTTTTCCAAAATTTTATTTTCTTCTCTGGGTTCTCATAGGAATTTGAGTACACTCCTGATAGAACATTGCCTTTGATTCACTCAATAAATATTTAATGAGCCCCTATTTTGTGTTTGGCACTCTCTTAGGGATAGAGCCATAAAATAAAACAAATATATCTGCCCTCTTGGAACTTACATTCTAGTGGAGAGAATATGGGCAAAAGACAATTGAACAAAATAATTCCAGAATGTGAAAACTGCCACGAAGGGGCACCTGAGTGGCTCAGTGGTTGAGCATCTGCCTTCAGCTCAGCTTGTGATCCTGGGTTCCTGGGATTGAGTACCACTTTAGGCTCCCCGCTGGGAGCCTGCTTCTCCCTCTGCCTATGTCTCTGCCTCTTTGTGTGTGTCTCTCATGAATAAATGAATAAAATCTTAAAAAAAAAAAAAAGAAAGAAAGAAAGGGGCAGCGGTTTAGTGCTGCCTGCAGCCCAGGGCGTGGTCCTGGAGACCTGGGATCGAGTCCCACATCAGGCTCCTACATGGAGCCTGCTTCCCCCTCCTCCTGTGTCTCTGCCTCTCTCTCTCTATGTCTATCATAAGTAAATAAATAAATCGAAAGAAAGAAAGAAAGAAAGAAAGAAAGAAAGAAAGAAAGAAAGAAAGAAAAAGTGCCATGAAGTAAGTAGAAATGATGCTGAGAATAATATGGGCAAAAATGAAGACGTCTGACAACACCAATCTTTGGACAAGATGTGGCTGAAAAGGATCTCTTCTGGGGCACCTGTGGGGCTTGTTGGTTAAGCATCAGACTGTTGGTTTTGGCTCAGGTTATGATCTCAGAGTCCTGAGATCAAGCCCCTCCATGGGGAGCATGGAGCCTGCCTGGGATTCTCTCTCCCTCCCTCCCTCCCTCTCTCCCTACTCCTCCACCCTCCCACACAAGTGTGCACAATGTGCTCTCACTCTCTCTCTCTCTCAAAAAAAAAAAAAGATTGAAATAATGAAAAGGATCTCTTCTATGCTGCTGGTGCAGAAGTAAATTGGTACAACTTGGAAGTTTGACATTACTTTGTAAAAGTTAGCCACAAGTTCTCAGATGTAGCCATTACAATTTCCAGGATATACTCTGGAGACCCTGCATTTGAGCTCCAGGGGCACATCTAGGACTGTTAACAGTAACAGTCTTCATATGAACAAAAACCTGGCAATAATCCAATTGTCCGTGGATGGGACAACAGATAGGAAAACTGTAGTATATTCCTGCAGCAGAAAATGAACCAACCTCACAGTGGTGCAATATTTTAGGTGAATCTTAGCCTTGTAATACTGAGTGAGAAAGTAAATAACAGACTATTACGTACAACATGATGCCTTTTTGACAAAGCTAAAGGGAAGAGAGTATCTTTTTAAGAAGCTGTACTTTCAAAAGTAAGAAGAGAAACTGCAACCCTCATACACTGCTGGTAGCAATGTAAAATGGTTCAGCCAATCCACTGAGACAGAATAGATAAATGGTTGCTTATAGCTGAGGGTTGGAGCAGAGGTAGAGGAGATGGAGGAGAAATGGATAACAAGCACAGAGTTTCTTTGGGGGCTGATGAAAATAGTCTAAAATTGATTGTGGTGATGGTTGCACAACTCTGAACATACCATTGCATTGCACACTTTGACTGAACAGGGATCCCTGGGTGGCGCAGCGGTTTGGCGCCTGCCTTTGGCCCAGGGCGCGATCCTGGAGACCCGGGATCGAATCCCACGCCGGGCTCCCGGTGTATGGAGCCTGCTTCTCCCTCTGCCTATGTCTCTGCCTCTCTCTCTCTCTCTCTCTCTCTGTGACTATCATGAGAAAAAAAAAGAAAAAGAAATGAATGAACATTGTGGTCTATGAATTGTATCTCAATAAAGTTGAGCAAGGAGCCTGAACCAGGGGTCTGTCTTGGGACCTGAGACCATGACCTGAGCTGAAAGCAGACGCTTACTGACTGAGCCACCCAGGCACCCTGGTTAACTGGTTTTTATTATATTATGTATAAATAAATATAAACAAACAGAAAGTGAGTCAACTATGGATAATGACAAAATGTGCCACAGACAACCAATTCTGAGATGTAGGGGAGTGGGTGGGCTACATCAGAGAGTGATCAGGGCAGACCTCTCCCGGGAATCAACTTAAGCTGAGGCTAGAATAAAATGAGTCAACCATGTGGAGATGGGGGTGAAAAAATTTCCAGGCAAAGCTGATAGCATGTACAAAGGCCGTAAGGTGGGCCCAAGCCTTCTGGGCTTGAGGATCATCCAGGAGGCCAATCCTTTGAAGCCCTAAGAATAATAGCAGTAGCCACCAGAGTGAGACCTTCAAAGTTCCTAAGCACTGAAAAGATGGCCATGCCCTCATAGAGGTCATTTAAAAGAAAACGCATTCTTAAATGGGAAAAATGTGAAAGTGTTAGAAAAATTATTTTAAAAAGTTTTAATTTTCCCATGATTTGAAATATATACATCCTTTTTTGAAATAAATACATCCCCACTCCGCCAATTTTATTTTCATGTTGATGTCTCTACGTTGTTGGTGCCCAGAGTCCCAGACAACAAATATTTATTGAGCATTTACTGGGTGTCAGGGATTTGTTCACAGCCATTTTTCCACTTAACTTGTAAAACCACCATAGGAGGGAGAAACTGCTCTTTCTCATTTCAAGGAGAAAGAAAAGGAGGCACTGGGATGCCAATACAGTAATTCTGACTCAGTGGAGGATTGAACTGGCCAAGCTCCCGTTCTGAAGGTTCAAACCTGGGGGATCTCCAATTCTCAGGGCCCAATAAATCTTGGAAGAGCCCGTCGGTCAGAAGCAGGGCCTTCTCCTTCCCAGAGCCCTGTGCCTTTAAGAGTCTCCCCCTCCCGCCGGCCACGCTCCAATTTCCCTCCCGGGCACCCAGAGCACCACCCCGCCCCCCGCGTCTGCAGAGCCGCACCTCAGTCCTTCCTCTCCGCCCCACACTCTCCGGCAGTGCTCTGGGTCCCCACCCACCCGGTGGTGGGTGAGGTCTGCCCCCGGGCTCTCACCCTCCGCCCTCCGATAGGATACTGCCCACTGCGCCCCAGCCGAATGCCACTTTTGAGACCCTGATCCCGACCCCCCCAGCTCCTGAATCTGAGGGGCGAGGCCCCGGCGCCCCTTCCCATCGCCCAGGCCCGTGGCGCCGTGAAGGTGACCTCCCCCGGGGGCAGCACAGGGCCCGCGGTGCCTGAGCAGGCTCACACGTGGTGAGCGGGGAGCGCGCAACCCCTCCCCGCCACGCGCCTCGAGCATGCGTCGCGGACACGCCCCTTGGCCTGGCTCCGCCCCCGTGCCCGCGCACGCTTCTCCAGGCTCGGGAGGGACGTCGCGCCCCGGTCCCGCAAACTGCGCGTTGCGGTGTAGGGTGGGACCTGGGATGGGACACTCCCGCATCCTCGAACCTCGCCTGAAGACTGTAAGAAGCGAAGCGGACAGTCAGTCCTGCCCAGGACCCTTGACTGGTAGGCAAGATGCCCCAGCGAGATGCGCTGAGCTGGGACCGCGAGCCTAGGATTCGAGCCCTAGTCGGCTTGTCTTCCTTGTTCCGAATCCGGAAAATGGGCGTCATACTCTCTTCTTTCTCAGGACTCTTGTGGCGCCTCAAACGAGAGTCAAAAAAAATGTGAAAGAGCTTTGTTCATTGCGTTCAAAAGCATTTGTCCAGCCCCTGTGTGGCTGGACCCTGTGTGTCCTAGGCAGGGGCTACATCTGTGAAACAATGAGTCTGGCCCCTTGAAGAGCTCTCCCGATCCTGAGTACCCCCCCCCCTACACACACACATTCTGTTCTGGGATGGTTCAGAAAGACGCCTCCAAAAGAGGAGGGGGCGGAGGCCCCACCTGGCGGCAGGTGTCACTGAATAAGCTAAAATTTCAAAGGCAACGTGGGGCGGGACGAGCTCTGAGAGGCAGATGGGAAGCACGCTCCGCGTTCCCCACCCTCCTTCCAGTCCCCAGCCTAAGAAAAGAAACCGACCTCATCCGACACCCTCCAACCCAGCCGCGAGACCGCCCAGCCCCGCAGCCCGAGCCCCGCCCCGCCCCGGCAGCCAGCGATTGGGAGATGCAAATACCAGCTTCTCTGCCCAGCAACGGGTGACGCGCCGCCCGAGCGCGAGGCGTGGCCCGGCCGCAGCCCAAGCGGGCACCTCGGTGTTTACACGGGGCGGCCCCGCGCGCGCCGCAGCGGCCCGCAGACGGCGAGGGGGAGGGGTGGAGCGCGCGCCGGCGGGGCCGCGCGGGGAGAAAGACACTGGAAGGCGGCGGGGCGGGGAGCTGCGCGCGCGGGCCGCGGCTGAGCAGGAGGCTGCGAGGAGAGCCCGCGGGGGCCGGAGGGTGCGATTCCTCCGCCCCCGCAAAACAATGTGCAGCGTGCGGCCGGGCGCAACTTGCCGGAGGCGGCGGGGGCGCGCCGAGCCCGCCTGAGACCGCGCCGCTGACCTTCTCCCCCCGCCGTCCGTTGGGCCCGAGCGCCCAGCTCCTCGCTCCTCAGCTCGCGGGGGCCGGGCCGAGCTGCGGGGCGGGGCCGCCCCTCCGTCGCTGCTGCCTCCTCCCCCACCCCCAGCCGCGGAGGATGCGGACGGCCCCCGGCGGCGTCTAGCGGCCCCGGGCCCAGGCGCGATGGTGCAGCAGCGGGGCGCGAGGGCCAAGCGGGACGGCGGCCCGCCGCCCCCGGGGCCCGGGCCGGCCGAGGAGGGGGCGCGTGAGCCCGGCTGGTGCAAGACGCCGAGCGGCCACATCAAGAGACCGATGAACGCATTCATGGTGTGGTCGCAGCACGAGCGGCGGAAGATCATGGACCAGTGGCCCGACATGCACAACGCCGAGATCTCCAAGCGCCTGGGCCGCCGCTGGCAGCTGCTGCAGGACTCGGAGAAGATCCCGTTTGTGCGGGAGGCGGAGCGGCTGCGCCTCAAGCACATGGCGGATTACCCGGACTACAAGTACCGGCCGCGCAAAAAGAGCAAGGGGGCGCCCGCCAAGGCGCGGCCCCGCCCCCCCGGCGGTGGCGGTGGCGGTGGCGGCGGTGGCGGCGGCGGCGGCAGCCGGCTCAAGCCCGGGCCGCAGCTGCCGGGCCGCGGGGGCCGCCGAGCAGCGGGCGGGCCTTTGGGGGTCGGCGCGGCGGCGCCGGAGGACGACGACGAGGACGACGACGAGGAGCTGCTGGAAGTGCGCCTGGTCGAGACCCCCGGGAGGGAGCTGTGGAGGATGGTCCCGGCGGGGCGGGCTGCCCGGGGGCCCGCGGAGCGCGCCCAGGGGCCGTCGGGCGAGGGGGCGGCTGTCACCGCCTCCTCCCCCACTCCGTCGGAGGACGAGGAGCCGGAGGAAGAGGAGGAGGAGGCGGCGGCGGCGGAGGAAGGCGAAGAGGAGACGGTGGCGTCGGGGGAGGAGCCGCTGGGCTTTCTGTCCCGACTGCCCCCCGGCCCCGCCGGCCTGGACTGCAGCGCCCTGGACCGCGACCCGGACCTGCCGCCCCCCTCGGGCACGTCGCATTTCGAGTTCCCGGACTACTGCACCCCCGAGGTTACCGAGATGATCGCGGGGGATTGGCGCCCGTCTAGCATCGCCGACCTGGTTTTCACCTACTGAGCCCACCGTCAGCGGGGCGCGCACGCCCCCAAACCAGCTGTTTACATACAGGAATCAGGTATTGGGGCCCCTCGGAGGCCGAGGCTGGCACCCCATCTCCCGCGCAGCCTCCCCCCTCCTAGACGTGCCCACCCCCCTCGAATCCAGACATGCCCCTCCCCCGCAGACACACCCCAAGGCAGCCCAACCCCCACTCTCCCTGACATCCAAGCCCCGCCCCTTCTTGCCCCCTCCCGCACAGCCACCAGCAGCCAGCCCCCCTCCTTTACACCTCCCGTCCACTCCTACAGACCTGCACCCCTCCCCCATCTCGCACACGCCCCTCCTCGTGGCCGGAGGACACGCCCCTGCCCTTGCTCCCGAATCCCTCCGCCTAGCCCGCCTCTTCTCTTGTTTAGGGGGGCGCTGCGGCTGGGCGGCACCGCGCGCTCCTCCCAGGCCCCTCTCCTCCCCCTCCCCCTCCCCTCCCCCTCCCGGAGCGCTGGGGCACGCCCCCTTCTCGCGCATGCTTAATGCTCCTTGGGAGGAGGGGGCCGGTCTCAGTCGGACCGCACGCCTCTGTGGCCGGCTCCGGGAAGAAGTGGGGAGGGTGTTGAGCGATCCTGAGAAATCTTTTATCCGGGAGCCGCGGCTTCCTTTCAACCCGACGGGGCGTCGCTGCCTTAATGGGAGGAGCACTAGGAAGGGGGAGAAGGAGACTAGCTGGCCCGGAAGGGTTTGGTTTGGAGCTTGGAACTCTCCCTGGTGGCAAAGCCCCTTTTCCTTGCGGGGTTGCCTAGATTGACGTGCATCTCCTTCTCCCACCGCCACCCCACCCCCATCCCCGCCCCACCCCCACCCCCCACCCAGCCTACCTACACGCACCGCTAGACTGCCTCCACAGTCTACCTTGGTCCCAGAAACCTCCCTTTTCTTTCCCCCACCTGGGAACTGAGAATAGGGTCTTCATCTGGAACTGCACCACGAGAGGACTGCCCAAGGAAACTCCGCACCAAGGCATTTATGGGAGTCTGTCTGGAGACAGGGTTCTTGCTGCTCTGTCCACCCCTCCCCAGCCGAGTGCCCCATCACGACAAGGCACACTCCCAGCCTGGGCTTCTCCCTACGCCCGCCACTCCCTCCTATCACTCGAGTCCTGTGCCCACAGTGACAGTATTCAGTGGGAGAAACTGAGGCACGGTGGTACTGGGTGGGGGGTGTTGAGACTGAGCCACGATAGCAGCCGGAGTGGCAAGAAGAGCCCCGCTTTTAAACAGCTGGCTTGAGAAAGACTATCGACTGGGCCAGTGAGACTGGAGGGAGGGTCAGAGTAGCGGAGGTGTGTCGTTTGCGCCTGTTTTTCCACGTGAAAACTTGGTACAGGGCTGCTGTCTGAGGAGGTTGTGTTCAGTTCGGGGTGCCCTCGGGGACCCTGCCCCTCTCACTCCCCAACTCTCCAATCGATCAAGTTCCGCCCCTCCGGCCTCCCCACACCCCTTTCTGCCCTCACTACCTGTATCTCACCGGCGTGTGTTCACCCTCCCGGGTGTGCACACACTCTCATTCACACACACAAATCTCAGGAACAAACGGTCCCAGAGTCCTCCTGGACCCCTGCCCAGGGTCTCCGCAGGTCTCTGCCCCACGCGTTCCCGTCGCTGACAAAGCCACCAGCTGCCTCCTTTAAGCTTGGTGCTCCGGCTCTGGGCCTTTCTCGCTCTCTCTTTTTCTGTCTCTCTTTCTTGCTCTCTTTCTCTCTTTTTCTTTTTTTTTTAAAGAAAAACAACAACGAAAAGACAATGAAAAAACCCAGAAAACGTCATGTGAGTGAAGAGATGTCACTGTCTGTGGTCTTGGAGAACTAGTCTAGTAGCTGAGGGGAGGGGTCCCTCTGGTCTGGGGCACTGGCACCCACAGCAGGACTTCCGCCAGTCTGATGCCAGGACTGAATAAAGTGTATTTGCCCCGACCTCGCCCTGTGGTTCTACATGTCTCTGCCTTTCCTCAACGGTCCCTCAGACAGTTGGCCAGAGTGAAGTCCATGTGACTTAGCACCGTGCAGGAAGAGTGGGGTCCATGGGCAAGGCACCTGGCCCCTTTAGGCCTCTGTCTCCTGCTCTCTCAGGACTCCCTGGTCTTTATTAAGGGTGACAAGGCCAGGTGTGTGACATAAATGAGAGAGGCTGGGTAGACACTGGCTTTCTGACCGACTTCGTTGGGGGCAGCAGCTCACCTCAGGCAGCTGTGACCTTGTGAGAATGCAGCCCACAGTGGCCAGATTTTCAAAGAGAAGATAGATACCTGGATGTTTCTATGAGCATCTCAGTTGCAAAATGAAAGCTGGTTCAAAAATTTTTAAATCCTTGTGCTCAAATGAACCCAAGTGTGCAGGCATCCCTGGTCCAAGGGGCCCAGTTTGACCCTGACCTTAACGTCAATTAGAAGGGTCAGGCCACATTGTCTGGGCCCCAAAGCCCCAGTACCACCACCACCACCCAGCACCTGTGTGACCTTGGGAAAGTTGACTTCACCCTGATTCTTTTCATAGGAGTAACGTGAGGATGATAACAGTGCCTGCTGCAGGGTGAGATGAAGTTTGAGGTGAGAAGCATTTAATAAGATGCTCCCCAAAATGTACTACTACACTGTCCAGAGGAGAAAACAGAGTCAGGATGGCAATGCAGTGTGTAGGAGGGCCTGCGAGCAGCCAAGGTCAGAGTCAGGGCCCCACGCTTGGGCTCTCTCTCCCTGTGGAGTGTTAGGTCAGGGTGCTACCTCTCCCTTGTTTGCCTCTGCAGGTGGTGGTAGGCTGTCCCCTCAGGGCTTCTAGTGGGGTAGGATTGGTCCCAGCACCTGGCGCATCATTGGCCCACAGTATAGATTTATTGAATGAGTAAGGAAGAGCCATGGGAGCCCCAGCAATACCTGTCCTTGAAATTCTTATCAGTGGGTTCAGGATGCAGAGGAAAGCCTTTTCAAAATTCTTTGTCCTCCTGACACCCTTCCCCCGAATTCCTCTACTGCCAGATCCAGTGAATTCCTAGGGTTGAACAGAGCCTGTGTGCCTGGGAAGAACCACGGCCAAGTGTGCAGACCTCATTCAGAGAGGGTATTTGGGGACTGGGATACCCAAAGGCAATTTCAGAGAAGAGTGTGGCAGGCTCTGGAGGGCTAGGTCCCTATGGAAAGGGGGTCTGGGTGGGGGAGGTGCAAGAATTAGTGACCGTGCTCTCTGAAAGCAAGATGGCAATCAGTCCTCTAGGAAAGAATTGATAAGGTGAGAAATACAGAGATAGGTGCCACCTGAAACGCCCTTGAAAGAAGGACTTCCCCAGCCATGAGAAGTAAGGTCAGTGGATGGCCTCCAGCTGCCAGAGCCAATCCACCCAGGGCAGCCTGCACCCAGCGTCCCAGGGAGATGGGGTATAAACAAATGCCTGGCCTGGCCTTTTGGGTTCAGTGTGGGGGACAGACCTGACAGGCAGCACAAGTACACCAACTCCCCCTGCCGACACTCACCCCGGACCCCTCCAGGGTGGCCGGAGCTTTGCCAGGCCTGCAGCGCAGTTTGACCTCCCATACTCAATCCTGCGTGCTCCCTCTTCTTTTCACAGGTGTCTTTATGCCTAATAAATATCTTGCACCCTAGACTCTGTCTCCGCGTCTGCTTTTGGGGGGAACTCTGTGCAGTGGAGAGTGTGAGGGGCCCGGACAGAGGGAATTGGGTTGCTGGCCCTACCTGCACCTGGGTTCCTCTGGTGTCCCCTGACCTCAGGAGGGGGTCTCTTCCTTCCCCCTCCCACCCCACGCCAGCAGCCCTAGCCTCAGGGCCGCACCCTTTCCAGGCGGCATCAGTTAGAAACTGCAGCCTCAGCCCTCCAGTGACTGCAGATCCCTCTTCTGGCCGAAGCTGGAGAGAGGGAGGTTGTAGGTCTTTTTGCCCTTCAGTATGCTGCCGCCACCGCTGTTGTCAGGCAGTGCCTGGCTGGGATAGTCCTAGATCGCTGTGGCACTTTGGGCAGGGTACTTTTGCAGGTCTCAGGTCCCCATATATAATGCTGGGGAGGGGAAAGTAAGAACGGAAGGGAGACCATTTATTGTTACTTGCTTCTTTCCATTTCAGAAGGAAATGGATTCTGACCTGGAAAAGGTGGGGAGAGACCTGCTTGTGTGGACTCTGGGGACACCTAGAGGCTGAAAGGAATAGGAAGCGTTTGAGGATGGGGCTGGGGTGTGTCCCACTCCAATCTCACTTGGTTCATGTAGTCACTCATCCATGGCTTCCTAGACCTGGGCAATTTAAACCATCTTGGTTCCAAGGCTTTAAGTACACCTGTACACCAAGGTGTTGGTTATTTTTGCTGGGTAACAAATTTCCCCAAACTTAACAGCCTACAACAACAGGCATTTATTGTTCCAGTCTCTGCTGGCCAGGTATCCAGGCGTGCTTTAGCTGAGTTCTCTGCTCAGACTCTCACAGGGCCACATCAAGGTGTTGGCTGGACTGCCTTGCTTTCTGGAGCTCAGCGTCCTCTTCCAAATACATGGTTGTGGGGGCAGAATTCAGTTCCTTGGGGTCAAGGTCACTCTCTGGGTTCTTCCCTGCTGTCAGCTGGTGCCACTCCTGAATCCAGAGGGCTACTCCCAGTGTCTGTCTTCCCAGTGTTCTCACAGAATGGCACCTTATTTTGCTAAGGCCAGGAAGAAGAATATTCCTGCAGCTTCCAGTTGCTTGCCTGAGGGAAGGCTTGCGTTAATTGATTCATTGATTCACTCATTTTTTAAAGTAGTCTCTATGCCCAACATGGGGCTACAACTAATGACCCCAAGGTCAAGAGTCACATGCTCTACTGACTAAGCCAGCCAGGTGTCCCAGGGAATGCTCTCTTTTAAAGGGCTCAATTGATTAGATCGAGCCCACCCAGGAAAGTCTCCCATCTGGTTGACTAAAAATCAACTAATTTGGGACCTTATCACATCTGCAAAATCCCTTCACCTTGGCCATATAATGTAACCAAATCACAAGAATGACCTCCATCATACTCACTGGTCTCACCCCCACGGAGGGTAGCAGGTTATGTTGGGCATGTACCAGCGGGCTGGAATTTTGGGGCCATCTTCGAATGATGCTTAATATAGCTGTATATATGCTATATATGCTCAAGTCCATATCTCCATCCTGATGTTGCCAGACTTGTGTCTAGTTGTCTCCTTGTCATGTCCACTGGGATGTCTAATTGTCACCTCAAACTTGGCATGCCTAAACATGAATTCTTGTTTCCACGTGCTTCCTTTCCCCACCCCACATCTTCACATCTCATGTGACTAAAAGACCAGCAACCTGTTGGTCATCCTTAGCTCCTCTTTTTCCCGATAGCTTCATATCCCTTGTTCATGTTGGCTCTACTTTCAAAATGTATCCTGTGTCCAATCACTTCTCATGGTCCTCCCCCCTCCCTGCCCACCTACCACCCATCTCTTGCCTGGTATCCTGAGTCAGCCTCCTCACTGAACTCCTTGCTTTCTCCTTTGCTCCAATCACAGTCTTCTTGTCCAAATAGCAGCCAGAGGAATAGGCTATAAATCAGACTATGTCCCACCTCTGCTCAAAACCCTCCACTGGCACCCATCTCATTCAGACTAAAAGCCAAAGTCCTCAGCATGGCCTGCAAAATCCTATATAATTTGGTTTGTAGCCCACTATGGGATTCACCTCTATTGCTCTTTCCTTCCTTTGCCATACTGTAGCCACACTGGCTTCCTTGATGTTCCTTAAAACTACCAAACACATGTCCACTTCAGCCCTTTTGAACAGCCCTTTGCTGTTCACTCTGCTGGAAATGCTTTTTTTTTTTTTTAGATTTTATTTATTTGAGAGAGAGAGAGAGGGTGAGAGAGAGCATGAGCAGGGGGCCAGAGGAAGAGGAACAAGCCAACTTGCCACTGAGTGGGCAGCCTGATGCGGGGCTCAATCACAGGACCTTGAGATCACAACCAGAGGGGAAGGCAGACACTCAACCAACTGCACTACTTGGGCGCCTCTGTTTGAAATGGTTACTACCTCCGAATTGGCCCTCAGGATTCAAGAGTTGCACCAGTTGACAGTGAGGAAGAACACAGGGAGAGACCTTGACCCCAAGGAACTGAATTCTGCCCCCACCACCATGTATTTGGAAGAGGACGCTGAGCTCCAGAAAGGAAAGCAGTCCAGTCTTTGGATCTTGGTTCCAACGTCACTACCTCAAAAAGGTCTTCCCTGATCATTCTTAAAAAGTAACACACATCCTTACATTATCCTCTTATTTGCTTTCTTTTTCTTAATAGCATTTATCATTGTGGTATTTGTCATATGCAGTTTTAATTTTGTAATTCTCTCTAATTAGTATGTCAGCTTCTCAAGGGAGGAATGGCTTCTACATGGGATTCCTTGCCTTGGCTCATTCAGTCACTCATTTACTCACCTATTCAACAAACATTTATAAAGGGCCTGCTTTTGCCAGGCTCTGTGCTGGGTGCTGGTGTACAAAGGTGAAAAAGACAGACATGGCCTGTCCTCACTGAACTCATAGTCCTGAGGAGGAGAAAGACATAACCAGAGGGATGGAAGTACATTGATGGAGATGGATGTGGGACTGGGGGAACACAGAGAGGTACTTAATGTGGACATGGAGCAAGGGCATGGTTAGATCATTTTATGGAGACAGTGATGTTTAAGCTGTGACCGAGACCCTCAGTAAGGTTGTTGTGGTTTTATTTTTTTTTAAGGATTTTATTTATTTATTCATGAGCGAAAGACACACACACAGAGGCAGAAGCAGGCTCCCTACAAGGAGCGCCATGTGGGACTCGATCCCAGATCCCGGGATCATGCCCTGAGCCACCCAGGCATCCCAGTTGTTGTGGTTTTAGAACACAGCTACAAGTTCTCTGACATCCTTCCCATAAATTTACTTCTTCCTGAGACTGGGCTGGCCTTCGTGATCCACTTGTAACCAGTAGAATGTAGCAGAAAGATGCTGTAGGTTTCTACATGAAAATACCAAATAAGAAGTCCACGTCCTTAAGATCATCATGCAATGAAGAAGCCCAAAACATGGGAGGAGCTCTGTATCCATGCTCCAGGTGATGCAGTCACCTCCCCATGTATATGCCCATGCTATGAGCAAAGGAGAGCCCCCAATCATTCAAGCCACTCCCAGGTGAAACAGCCTGAGGGGTCTTTTGAGAACAAACATGACCAGGATGCCTTGATGGCTCAGTGGGTTAAGGCTGTGACTCTTGGTTTCTTTTTCTTTCTTTCTTTCTTTCTTTCTTTCTTTCTTTCTTTCTTTCTTTCTTTCTTCTCTTGGTTTCTATTCAGGTCATGATCTCAGGGTTGTGAGACTGTGCTCCATGTCCAGCTCTGCTCTTAGAGGGGAGTCTGCTTGGGATTCCCTTTTCCTCTCTCTCTGCCCTTCCCCTCACTTTCTCTCTAAAAATAAATAAATAAGGGGCACCAGAGTGGCTCAGTGGTTGAGCATCTGTGTCCGACTCAGGGCGTGATCCTGGGGTCCTGGGATCGAGTCTGCATCAGGCTCTTCGTAGGGAGCCTGCTTCTCTCTCTGCCTATGTCTCTGCCTCTCTCTGTGTCTCTCATGAATAAATAAATAAAACCTTTTAAAAATAAATAAGGGGATCCCTGAGTGTCTCAGCAGTTTAGCGCCTGCCTCCCGCCCAGGGCGTGATCCTGGTGTCTGGGATCAAGTCCCGCATCGGGCTCCCTGCATGGAGCCTGCTTCTCCCTCTGCCTGTGTCTCTGCCTTTCTCTCTGTGTGTGTCTCTCATGAATGAATAAATAAAATCTTTAAAAAAATAAATCTTAAAAAAAAAAAAAAGAAATGTGACTAACTCTGAAACCTTTCAGTGGTTCCCCATTACCCTCAGGATGAATGCTAAGATTCTTGGCATTCAAGGCCTTTTACAGTTGCAGCTGTACCCTAAAACTCTGCCTCAACCATGCCAGTTCACTCCCCATAACAATACCCTCCTAGGCCATTTGTCTTTGCTCTTGTCAAGAAATTACAGGGAATTTGGGCTAATCATCTTGCCTTTTGAGGTCTTACTTTCCCCATCTAGGCAGTTAGGTGGTTGGACCAGAAATATTTAAGACCATATCCAGTCTGGCATTCAGGGAGCCTATGAAAAGGAGGGAGAAACTGCTTACAGCCAAACCTGCCTATCTAGCTTCTTTTAGGTTGCCTAGCAATGGATGCCAAACATCTCCCCATTCTAGGAGGTTTCTTAGCAACCCAATTTCTCACCCTCAGTTGTTTTCAGGGTTTTCTGTTAACTAAATGAATCTTAAGTTCTGTTCTTTCCCTTCCAAGAAAATCTGCCGCCAAGGAACTCTTTGGAGACCTGGATCTCATTGGCCAGAACTAATCACATGTTTTTTTCTGACTTCAAGGGAACTAGGAAATGTATGTGATGCACATGGAAATTTGGTGAGCAGTCTATGTCTCTACCACAGGATTGAAATAAAGCTTCCTTGACAAGCTGACATATGAGCAGAGATCTGAATAAAGCCAGAAGCTAGCCATGCAGATATCTGGAGAAGGATCAGTAAAAGCAGAGAAACAAGTACAAAGGCTCTGACACCTTAACATGGGAGTTCGCCTGATGCACTTAGTTCATTCAAGGATGCCGGTGCGGCCGGGGTGGTGAGTGGTGAGTGAGGAGATGGAAGAAGAGGAGATCACTAGGTAAGTAAGGTTGTGGGGGAGGGGCAATCGCGGGTCCTAGTAAGACTAGTTTGGGGTAGTCATTGCTGTGTAACAAATCATCTTTCAACTTACTAGCTTAACACTGTTTTATTATCTCCTGAGATATTGTGGGTTTATAGGATTTAGTGGGATAGTTATTCTGCTCATGTGACATCATCCGAGGGCCCAAGTGGGCTGACATGTCTGAGATGACTCACTCACACCATGCTGTCCAATACAGTGTTTTGTGCTAGCTGTGGGCTGGAGGTTTGTCCGGGGCTGTCAAACCCCAGCTGGGGCTGGAGCACCTGCATGTGGCCTTTCTGTGTGGCTTGGGCTTCTTTAAAGGCACGGGGACTGGGCTCCAAGAGGGAGCTTTCCAGAAGGGAGTGTTCCAAGAGGCAGGGAAGAAGAAACTGGTCTTCTTGAGAGCTAAGTCCAGAACAAGCACAACGTTGTTTTTGCCACCTTTGGCTGGTTGAAGCAACCGCCGTGCCAGCTCAGACTGAGGAGAAATAAACTCCATCTCTTGAAGGGCAGAGTGATGAAGAGTCTGTGGCCATATTTAATCTACCACAGTTTTCTCCTTTTATCCTGAGTAAGATGACATGTCATTAGAGGGTTTTGAGCAGGCAGTGAGACTGCCCTGTGAGAATCTGACTCATGCATTAAAGCTCACTGTGGCACAATGTAGAGAAGAGACCACTAGGGGGCAGGGCAAAAGCCCTAGATGAAAGAGAATGGTTAGTGGGGATCTAAGATGACGGTTAGTTATGTTCCAAGTGGGGCCCTGGCTGACCCACTGACACCTGACTGTCCAATATGATGGCACTAGCCATATGTGGCTATTAAAACTTAAAGTAATTAAGGTTAGGAAGTGCCTAGCTGGCTCAGAGGGTAGACCATGTGACTCTTGATGTTGGGCCGTGAGTTCAAGCCCCACATTGGGTATAGATAGAGCCTACTTAAAAATAAATAAGTAAAAAAAATAATTAGGTCAAATGAAATTTAGAATTCAGTTCATCAGTCTTACTAGCCACACTTCAAATGCTTAATAGCCAAATATGGCCAGTGGTTCCTGTTTAGGCAGCACACACAGATCTAGACCATTCCCATTGTTGGAGAAATTTCTATTGGATAGCACTGGCTTAGTAAACCTTCTCATCTCTTACAGGGTTCTACATCTAAAATCTTTAACTACAGAGTCCCACTCTCTGACCTCAGGCTCCCTTCCTTCCCATCTACCTATTTTTGGACTTCATTGAGTTCCTCCGTCTGGAATTCCTGCATCTTCTACAGATCCATCTGCTCTCCTCCTGAGCTGCATTGGCATCCTTCCTTACTGAGCCAGGATCCATCCTGAGGTTCATTATCAGGTCTATTTTCTCCTCTGCTCTCTGCATCCACATTCACCCCCTCTTTCTGCCCCACCTGTTCAGGAGCTGGGGTTCCAGTGGCCTCCTTCATTCCCATTTCTCCTGACACTGCCAAAGAAAGTCACAACCATACACGCTATTGTCTCTACAGATCCTGGCCTCAAAGCCATGGGAGCAAATTCAGATTCTGCCACATTGTGTCTGAATGACAGGTTGGTGACCTCAGGCAAGTGACCTCATAAGGTCATTGAGAAGATAAATTATGCTGGCACACAGGAAATGCTCAGTATGTGACATCTGTCACCACCACCGCCATTATCATTATTGATTATTCCAAATCTTTACTACCCTTTGAAAAGATTGTAGTAAACTATACATAACTTAAAATTTATCATTAGCACATTCACAATGTCGTGCATCCAGCACCATTATCTAGTTCTAGATTATTTCTATCACTCTAAAAGGAAAACCACAAAGCAATAACTCACCATTCCTTCCTTCTCCCAGCCCCTAAGAACCACTAACCTGTTTTCTGTCTCTGTGGATTTTCTGACTCTGGCTATTTCATATATGTGAAAACATACAATATGTGGCCTTTTATGTCTGATCCACCACCCTTTTTAAGCCTCCTTTTGAACTAAAACCTTCCTCTTTCTTTCTTTTTTTATTTTTAATAATTTACATTCTAAGTCAGTGCTACACCCGACATGGGGCTTAAACTCACAAACCCAAGATCAGGACTTGCATGCTCCACTGACTGAGCCAGCCAGGCACCCTTAAAACCTTCCTCTTTCTTAATAGATGATGCTTCTTATTTTTCTCCAGAGCATTCAATTTATCAGATGTCTTGTCACTCAATTCCCTACCCTCCTCACCTATAAACTAATGTAACAATAATAGTAGTAGTGACAACGATCATTTGTTGGGGTCTTACTCTGTGCAAGGTGCTTCAGTAGGGGTTTTATATGCATATCTCATTTCACTCTTATAACCTTCCTAAGAAGCAACCACTAATATATCTATTTTATGGTCAGGGAAACGGAGGCTTAGAGCAGTTAAATCATGTAAGCAGTGAGTGGCAGAACCAAGATTCAAACATGGATCTGTTACATGCAGAGTTCAACTCATAACCACCACACTGTATCTCTTCTTGGTGGCCACCCTCCTTCTTCCCCCAGCTCTCAGAGGACACTGGATCTTTCCTGTGCTGGCCCAAAGCCCATCCTTCCTGTACACCTGACCTCATCCCTTCCCATTGCCTCTAGAACCTCATCCATCCCCTCTCCCATATCATCAGAGCTGAAACTGATTCAAACCATTGTGGACTGGAATCATCTGATTGCTTCTTCACTCATCTGATGCCTAAAGTGGGATGACTCAAAGGCCAGGCTCAGCTGGGACTGGTAGCTTCATGTGGACCTCTCCATGTGGTTTCTGCTTCTTCACAGCATGGTGGCCTCAAGGTAGATAGACTTCCTGCATGGCTCCTCGGGTCACCAAGAGCCAGAGTTCCAGGGGAGGTGCATGTCCTCTTATGTCCTAGCCTTAGATGTCAGAGCATCACTTGCCCCATGCAGCCATCAGCTCATACAAGATACAAAGAGAGGGTATATAGATTCCCCCGTCTCCTTTGGAGAAGTGCTAAAGAATTTGTGGCCATTTTTAAAACCAGCACAGGTTGTTCCCAATCTTTTCTTATTCCTGTAGCTCATTTTACCCCCTACCATCTCTTGGAGCCATTCATTTCTCTGCAAGGTCCACTAGGCTGACATAATTATCTCTGATGTGGAGATTCCTCACTGGTCTCTCTGCTGCCACTCTGGAGCATTCTATCCTGCAGCCAGAGGGATCTTTTCAGTGTGCAGTTCAGATCACATCCCTCCTTCAAATGCTTCCATGGTTCCCCATGACTCTTGGGTTGAACTGCAAACTCTTTTCCTTGGCTTGTTAGGCCCTGAAGGGTGTCGTGTATGCCTGCTTATCCAGCTTCATGTCCTGTCACCACTTGAGGCCTTTAGTTTTGGGCACCAGGACTTCCTCTTTCTGTCTCTGTCTGTCTCACACACAGTTAAATGAGTAATTAATACATGGAAAGCACTTAGACAAGCCCTTTGCACATAGTGAACATCATATATTTGTTATTATTATGAGTCTATGTTCAGTAAATATTTATTGAGTGGCCTACTCAATGCCAAGCATGACATGACGCTTCGGAACACAACAGTGAATGGAAAAAGATATGGCCTCATCTTGCAGTTTATTGGTCTCTGTATCTCCAGCCCCAGCACATGGAGAGGCAGAATGGATGTTCAAGGCATGAAGGTATGTTTGTGCAATGCTGTTTGATGAAGTTCAGAGCAGTGCAGTGACTTTCCCAAGACCACACAGCAAGTGTGGGACAAAACCAAGGCTGTGGGCACAGGACAAGAAATGAAGTAGACACAATTATCTGGCAAGGGCTGGCTCTCCGCACACGCTGCCCAGGGCAGACCTGAGGGTAGGTTAGAGAGACCAAGGGAGGCTATCTCGTTTGTTCCTTCCAGAGAGGAAAGGAAGCTACTCTCCCAACCCCTCCTCCCTAACCTCAACTCCCTTCTCAAGATTCGAGGGGCTGACCCTTAGCCAGGTCAGGGGGTCAAAGAGGGAAAGAGAATGGAGAGAGGATAGGGGACTCCGTAAGAAGTAGGGGGCTCCCGAGGGAGAGGGGGCTCAGCCATGGGTGAGAGACCAGAATCTGTGGAGCAGGTGGCAGCTCAGCAAGATGAGCGTTTGTGTACTGGGTTAGGGACTCCGTGGAGGGAATGGAAACCTATAGAGGGGGCCGAGGATGCAATGAGGAAGTGACGGCTCAGTGAAGGCAAGGGTCTTGGGTCAGAGGGGTGAGAGATGGAGGGAGCGATGGAATGTCGGATGAGGAGTTTGAGGGACCGAAGGGGGGGAGTGCGTTCCGGGGAGGCCGTGGGGTTTCCGCGAGCGGTCTGGGGCCTCAGAGTGAGAAGGAAACTCTTTTTTTTTTAAATTTTTTTATTCATTTATGATAGTCACACACACACAGAGAGAGAGAGAGAGAGGCAGAGACACAGGCTGAGGGAGAAGCAGGCTCCATGCACCGGGAGCCCGACGTGGGATTTGATCCCGGGTCTCCAGGATCGCGCCCTGGGCCAAAGGCAGGCGCCAAACCGCTGCGCCACCCAGGGATCCCCGAGAAGGAAACTCTTGAAGGAGACAGGGGCTATCCGTCCTGCAGGGGTCCGCAATCTGCAGAGCCAGCCCTTGGGGCGGGCGGGTGCCCCCCTCCTACCCCCGTATCACCCCCGCCCCCGGGCTGCGGCGCAGGCGCCGACAAAAGCAGCTTCTGCTCGGCTCTCGCTCTGGCTCCCGCTCGGCGGAGACAGCAGGCGGAGAGGTGAGCTCGGCCCTGCTCCACGCGCGCCCTGACCCCCACCCCGCCTTCTCCCGGGTTCCGGGGAGCCCCACCTCAGCCCGCATCCCCAGCCCGGCCGCGTCCAGCCTCGGACGGGGCGGCGGCGCCCGAGCCTTGGTGTGCCCTGGGCTTTGGGCGGTGAGGTCCCAGAGAAGTGGCAGGGGGCAGAGATCTCACCAGCCCCATCTCCCGGAGACACCTCAGTGCCGAGTGGATGCGCAAAGGCTTCAGAGGACGAGACGCTACCCACCTCTTTGCTAGAAACCTATTCCCACCCTCCGTGCCTCAGTTTCCTCCTGGGGGAAAGGCGGCTGTTGATCTCGACCAGGGAACTGGTGGGCCGGTCAGAAACAGTGGTGCGGTGTAGAGCAGGAGGAACTGGCCCCCCAACAGGGCGCCCCTTCACCGAGCCAGGGCAGCGCCCGCCACTGGAGTGGGAGGGCCTGGGGGTCTGGGAAGGAGAACTGAGGCGGCGCAGGCAACAGATTCCATCCGTCTTCAGGCCCTCGCGCCTGTCACCTTCGCGTACTCCTCCCTCCCCTCGCCTCCGCCGCAGTCTCCCCCCTCGGACCCTGCGGCCCCCTCCTCTTCCCGCTCCTTTCACACCGAGGAGCTCCTCCCTCCTCCTGCCCAGGGACACCTCCCCAGCTGTTCCTAGGGCAACCGGCGTCCCGGGTACCCGCAGTGGGGTCCGGAGCCTCCTCTGTCCCGCTCCCCCTGATCGCCGGACCCGCTCCCTGCAACCTTAACTCGGGGGGAGGAGGGGCCAGGCCGAGGGGGAGGCGGCGTCAAGGTCAAGGTCACCTTCCTTCTCCAGTCCCAGCAAGATCCAGAGACCAGGTATAGTTAGGGGAAGAGGGACCGTGAGCTGCAGGGGCAGGAGCTGGCCCAGACCAACAATTCCTGAGCCTCTCTTCCCTGCCCCCTCTCCCCTCCTAGGGTGTTTAACGAATAGTCGCTGCTTTGACGCCGACGGCCCCCGGCCGGCACTCACCCTCCGGACCCCCGGGAGCCTCGCGGGCGCCGGGCCGGGGCGGGTCCCTCACTGGCCACACCCCTCGGGGCCCCGCCCACCGGCCTGCGGGGCGATCCCCGCTCCCTCCCGGGACCGCCCGTCGGCTTCTTCTCTTTCGTTTTTGGTCTCTGCCTTTTCCCATTCACTGTCCAAAAAGATGTATTTTTTGTCTTTTCCTTTTCTTTTCTTTTCCCCCCGAGTTGTGGGTGAGGGTTGTGAAGAGCCGCGATTTATTTATAGAACAGGCTTTTAAGAAAAGCACTTCTGGCGCTTGTGTGGATCCGTGGGGGCTCCAAGGGTCGCCCCAGCACGCTTTGGCTGTGTGTGTGTGTGTGTGTGTGTGTGTGTGTGTGTGTGTGTGGAGTGTCTTTGTGTGTAGTGTGTCTGTGTGTCTGTTTCTCTGTGCTACGTGTGTCTATCTGAATATGTCTCTCTGTGGTATATGTGTGCCTGTCTGGGTATTTCTCTGTTAGGTTTGTGTATCCGTGTTGGTGTGTGTCTCTGGTGTGTATGTGCATCAGTCCATGGTATGTCTCTGATTTGTGTATGTATATGCCTATCTGTCTGTGCTGTGTATGTGGGTGCTGGTGAGTGTCTCCATGCAGGAAATTGAAGGCCACATCTGACTGGAAATTAGAGGGGGAGTCTAGAAATCTGTCTTATCCTTCGGTGTAAGTGCATTGCTTTATTTTTATTTTTTAGAGATTTTATGTATTTAGTGAAACAGAGCCTGCGAGCAGGGGTTGGGGTAGAGGGAGAGGGAAAGATAGAATCTCAAAATGCACCCCCTGAGTACTTGGGGGCTTAATCTTACGACCCCTGAGATCATGACCTGAGCTGAAATCAAGAGTTAGAAACTCAACCAACTGAGTCACCCAGGCACCACACTCACTGCTTTATTTTGTTTGAAACTGTTCAGGGGTCCTGACACAGGAGCCCAGTCCTTCGCCAGTGCAAACACACACCCCCTTCCCAAACCCACCCTTCCCCTCATCCCCTACTTTGGTTGTAGTCCTGTCTGCCTATGGATATACAAGTACTTTCCATTACCAAGTTTTCAGTGTCTCTGTCTGTGAAAAGATTCTTTCTTTTTTTAAAAAAAATTTTTTTTGATTTTTATTTATTTATGATAGTCACACACACACAGAGAGAGAAGCAGAGACACAGGCAGAGAGAGAAGCAGGCTCCATGCACCGGGAGCCCGAAGTGGGATTCGATCCCGGGTCTCCAGGATCGCGCCCTGGGCCAAAGGCAGGCGCCAAACCGCCGCGCCACCCAGGGATCCCTCTTTTTTTTTTTTTTTAAAGATTTATTCATTCATTCATGAGAGACACACAGAGAGAGGCAGAGACATAGGCAGAGGGAGAAGCAGGCTCCATGCAGGGAAGCCCGATGCCTGACCCAGTTCCGGGACCTCGGGACCATGCCCTGAGCCAAAGGCAGATGCTCAAGGGCTGAGCCACCCAGGCATCCCCGAAAAGAGAAATTCTTAAGATTAGTGGTTGCCATAGGCAGGGCAAAATGTGTGAAGGGAGTCAAAGATACAAACTCCAGTTATAAAATAAATAAGTTACAAGGATATAATGTATAGCATGGTGACTATGGTTAATAATACCGTATTGCATATTTTAAAGTTGCTAAGAGAGTAGAACTTAAAAGTTCTCTCATAGGGAAAGAAATATATTGGTAACTAGGTACAGTGACAGATGTTAACTAGGTTTCTTATGGTGATCATCACAAATACCAAATCATTATGTTTTACACCTGAAACTAATATGCTTTTTGTCAAGTATACCTCAATAAACAATGTATTCTTAAAAAAGGAGGGTTCTTAGATAGGTTTCCCTAGAAAGCTAAAAACCCTTAAACCTAAGAGGGCCCTGACTTTCACCTCCTCTGGAGTCAAGATGACTTGGGGTTTGGAGGCTGTGGCCTTGTGAGGGGCAGTCCTGGGGAGGGATTTTTTAGAACCTTGCACCTGGGGAAGTTGTCCTGATTGGGCAAGTGTCAGCCATGATGACAGTTATCCCCAAGAATACCAAAAGAGGGGAAGATTTTGAGAGGAGATGGGGGATGAGAACCTCTTACTCCAGATATGGGACCCAAAAAGTTTAGGATAAAAGTAATAATGAAGAGAGGGACCTGGGTGGCTCAGTCGGTTAAGCATCTGCCTTCAGCTCAGGTCATGGTCCTGGAGTCCTGGGATTGAGTCCCACATTGGGCTCCCTGCTCAGCAGAGAGCCTGCTTCTCCCTCTCCCTCTGCCTGTTCCCTCTGCTTGTGCTCCCCTCCCCCTCTCTCTGTCAAATAAATAAAATCTTTAAAAATAATAATATTAAGAAATTATAGTAATAGTAATGACAACTGGTACTATTTCTTGGCCTCACATATGGTAACTGTGTGAAGCAGGTGTGATTATTAGCTGCTTTACAGATGAGGAAACCAATTTTTGGAAAGTGGAAGGCACTCGCCTAAGGCCACACAGCCAGGAAGTTGTGGATCTGGGATTTCATCCGACAGTCAGACCCCAAAACTCACAGTCTTAGCCACTGGGTGGCCTCCAGACTAAACAACCTTATTTATTGGCATCTACAAATGTCAAGCACTGGCCTTAAGAGATCCTGTGCACTGACTCATTCACATTGTATGTGTAGAAATTCAAATCAGTATCTAGAAGACCAGGCTGTATTATGAGTGTGGGTTACCTAAAATGGGAGGAAAAGTAGATGACACACAAAGATTCAGGGGCCTGGGAGGGTCTCACGGATCGCTCCCTCTGTCCACTGCACCTTACTTCCCCCACAGAGATCCACGATGCCAGACTGTGACCGTTCCTGCAGCTGTAGCCGCGGCCCCAATGTGGAAGATGGCAAATGGTATGGGGTCCGCTCCTACCTGCATCTCTTCTATGAAGACTGTGCAGGTACAGCTCTCAGCGATGACCCTGAGGGGCCTCCTATTCTGTGTCCCCGCCGACCCTGGCCCTCACTGTGCTGGAAGGTAAGGCCAGAGAACAACTTTTGTGATTTCCTGTGGCTGCAGGGAGGAGATGGGATCAGTGGATAGAAAGAAATGGGAAGGTATAGCAGGTAGGAGTCTTGCACATGCAAGCAACCACAAGAACAACAAAAACCCAGTTGGGGGGCACCTGGCTGACTCAGCTGGTAGAGCATGTGACTCTGGATCTCAAGGTCGTGAGGTCAAGCCCCACATTGGGCGTGGAGCCTACTTAAAAAAAACTGGCAAATGGCTACTGTTAAGTCATTCAAAACCTTACAAATTTGGGGCACCTGGCTGGCTCAGTTGGTAGAATGTACAACTCTTGATCTCAGAGTTACAGGTTTGAGCTCCACACTGGGTACAGAGATTACCTAAAAATAAAATATTTTTTTAAAAAATTCAAGCAGGTTTAAACAATAAAGGGAAAATGTAGGTCATTTTATTGAAAGGACCAGAGGTTGAGCAACTTCAGACAAAGGTCAATCCAGTGGTTCAAGATTTCTCTTAGTCTTCAGCCCCCCACCCCACCATGGTGCCCCTACTCTGTGACTCATTTAGCTTTAGGATCTACCCACATGTTCCCCAGGTAGTTGCTACCATGCTGATCCTCAGTGTTTCACTCCACACCATCTACAGGAAATCAGAATTTCCTCCAGTATTTCCTTCAGAAAAGAAGCAATGCTTTCCATTTCCAGTCCTGTCAAGCATTGCATTGGCTCTGATTGGATCACATGCCTTTCTCTGAACTAATTACGGTGGCCAGGGGGCTAGTAAACACTGACTGGCAGGAAGGGCTTCATCTCAGTTAAATCTTACTGTGGCTTCACAATGATATATTGAGGTTCTGTTGCCAGGGCAGTCGAAGACATGAGAGAAACAGTGTCTATAACTGCCAGGGAGAGTGGTCAGTGAGGGCTCACAGTGTAGGGAAAGGTGGCAGTAAGCTGAATCCCTACAATGGGCACAGTTCTTTGCAAATACTGTAAGGGGACTGAGGCAGAGGGTCCTTCCTCTCTGCTTTCAAAGGGCTTCATTCTAGAGGGGAGGCAAAGTGCCAAGATACGTAGAGTGAATGCACAACCTCAGGACAAATGATCAGAGAGGAAACGCTCTCGGTACCTGGGGTGATCAGGGAAGATTCTCCGGAGAGGGTGCGTATGTATTTTTAAATTTTGAGCATCTTCTAATTGCCAGGCACTGTGCTAGGCTCTTGAGGACAGAGAATTTAAGATGTGTTTGGTCCCTCTCCTCTAGGAGCTCCTCGCTGTGGTTCATTTAGTCATTCTGCAAACATTCACTCAGCTGTGGCTCTGTGCCAGTGCCATGGGGATCCAGACTGTGTCTGTTCTCATGGCTCTCCAGGCTCTCATTCCAGCAGGGCAGGCCGACCACACTCCCGTAGTAATGAGAGTACATGTTCAAGTGTGCACCAGGGTGAGTGCACTGAAGAACAAATGTACGCAGGTTTGTACAAATGCAAAGCAGGAGACCCTGACCCAGTCCCAGCGGCATCCTGAGAGGCTTCCCTGAGAAGATGAGGTTTGAGATGAGGTCTGAAGGATGTGTAGGAGTTATCTTGACTGAGAAATAAGTAGATGGGACAGAGAGATGAGATGGGACCCAAATAACAATGGAGGAAAACTCAAGGTAGACAGAAAAACCCACTAAGTGGGAGCTAGAAAGGACATTCATTGACCAAGGGGCCTCAAGATTCCAAATAGAACCTGACAGCTTGTGCCCTTCATCAGTTAGATCTTAGAAGATGTGTTCTGTGAATCCCCTGTGATTCCTATCTCTTAAAGTTAGACCAAGGTGTTACCTTTAAGTCCAGTTGGGATCACCTGCCCTCCCCCCCAGCCGGCCCTGGCTACCTCCAAATCTGTCTGCCTGTCTCCAGATCAGTCTGTCTTCGGCGACCCTGCTTCTGCTGCTGGGTGTGGCAGCCCTGACCACCGGCTATGCGGTACCCCCCAAGCTGGAGGGCATCGGAGAGGGGGAGTTCCTGGTGTTGGATCAGCGGGCAGCCGATTACAACCAGGCTCTGGGCACCTGCCGCTTGGCAGGCACAGCACTCTGTGTGGCGGCTGGGATCCTGCTGGCCATTTGCCTCTTCTGGGCCGTGACTGGCTGGCTGAGCCAGGACATGAAGGCAGAACCCTTGGACCCCGACGCTGATGGCCACGTGGAGATCTTCGGGGATGAGCCAGAACAGCAGCTGTCGCCCATCTTCCGAGACGCCAATGGCCAGTGTTGGTTCTCACCACCTGCCAGCCCCTTTGGGCAATCGTCTGTGCAGACCATCCAGCCCAAGCGGGACTCTTGAGCTGCCCACAAGGCCAGAGGAGGAGCCAGACCTGGGTCTGGACCATTCCTCTGTCCCACCACACCCTGCCCTCCGATTGTCTCCCTAACTTCTCACTTTCAGTGGGGCCCCTTCCTCTTATGCCCCCAGAACCCTAGGTCAAGAGAGTCTGGAGCTCAAATCCCAGTGCCCCTTCCCAAGGATTGGGCCCCAACTCATCCAAGATGCCAATTTTTCCCAAGTCCTCCCAAAACTTCCCACCTAACCCTCCTTCCCAAGACCCTTCAGGAGCAGAAAACATCCTCCTTGATCTATCCCCATCGTACTCTGTGTGACCCCGGGCAAGCCACTTATCCTTTCAGACCATCAGTTCCTGTCTCCATACTATGAGGGGTTTGGATCAGGTTCTAGAGTTCCATGACTTTCCTCTTCTCCCCAGCTATGAGCATTACTCTCCATAGACAACGTTGGGGGGAGAGGTAGTGGAGTCTTTCTCATCCCCTGACCCCTTCCTATGTCAGCTGCTCCAGGATGCCCGAGGATGGGTCAGAAACATTCACTTGGACTTCACCTCCAGGATGGTGCAAATAGTCACCTCCCACAGAAGGTTTTCTATGTGTGTTTTGGCATCAGAGCCCCTCTGTCCCACCCATCATGGGCTATGTTTAGCCTCAGTTTACAGATGAGGTGGCTGAGGGAGGCTGGCCGTCTGCAGGAATTTGAACCCACATCTTCTGTCCCCTCTTGGGCCAACTCTTGTTCTACAGCTGGAACAGGGGGCCTGCTGGACACTTTCCTGGCTTCCAGGGAACCTCCAGGAGTGGAAGATGGTTGATCCAGAGAGCCTGGTTGGAGGCCTGATGGTCCTACATGGCTCAGAAGATACTTTGAACATGCATTTAAATGGTCTCCAAGAGCCAGGGGTAGGAGAACTGGGATGTCTTTGTCCCTCAATATTCATTCCCCTAGAAACCATCATCCACAAGTCCTGAACTTACCCTGTAACAAATGTGTCCTACTGGGGGTACCAGCACCTCCATCCTGCAGGCTCCACAGCCAGACACATCATCTCCATTCATTCCACGAGGGGGAGCTCCAAGATAGCTGGAGAGAGGCGCCGCTGCACCTGGCCCAGGTCCCACCTCCAGCCTGGAGGTCTCCGTTCCCTACCAGGCAGGCACTACTGCCCCTGTGCCCCATGCCCCTTCCCCATCCTGCACACCTTCAGTCTTACCTTCCCTTTGAATAAACAGATGGGATGGATACTGACTTTGCTTCTTTTCTCCCTACGTGCCACGGGTAGAGAGGAAAAAGACTATTGGGAGCTCCTACCATGTGCTGGGCACTTAAGTCCACTATTTCTCATTAGCTCCTCATGATCACTCTTTGAGAAAGGGGACTATTATCTTCATTTTACAGATGAGTTAACTAGTGGTCAGAGAAATGACCCAAGGGTGGATTTATTATTTTTTTAAAACATTTTATTTATTTATCTGAGAGAGAGAGAGAGAGAGAGAGAGCACACAAGCAGGGGAAGCCGCAGAGGGAGAGGGAGAAGCAGGCTCGCCACCCAGCAGGGAGCTTGATCTGGGGGCTCAATGTGAGGGCTCCATGCTGTGGGGCTGATGCTGTGGGGCTGATGCAGGACTCCATCCCAGAATCCTAGGATCATGACCTGAGCAGAAGGCAGACCCTAAATCGACTGACCCACCCAGGCGCCCCTCAAGGATGGATTTATTTATTTTTTATTTTTTTATTTTTTAAACTTTTTAAAAATTTTTTAATTTTTTTAATTTATTTATGACAGTCACACACACACACACACACACACAGAGAGAGAGAGAGAGAGAGAGAGAGAGAGAGAGAGAGAGAGAGAGAGGCAGAGGGAGAAGCAGGCTCCATGCACCGGGAACCCGACGTGGGATTCGGTCCCGGGTCTCCAGGATCGCGCCCTGGGCCAAAGGCAGGCGCCAAACTGCTGTGCCACCCAGGGATCCCTCAAGGATGGATTTAAACACTAACTTATTGGAAAGGAAATTTCTCCACCATCTTGACAACCTACTGTCCCATCCCCAGGGGGATGTGAAGCCTGGAGTTCTGGAAGAGGGAGTCAGAGCCAAAGCTGGGATTTCTTCCAGAGCAACAAGAACACCTAACCCCCATGAGCACTTACCAGAGGCCAGGCCCTCTTCTCAGTGCCTTACAGACACAAATTCATTCATTTACCCTCCTAACAACTTATGAGGTGAGGACTATCATTCCCAAACCTGGCTCCCAGATGGCAGGTTTGTATTTCCAGCCGTGTTCACCTGCATGTTGAATCCCAGTTCAACTATCCCAAAATGCTCCCATCAACCCTCCCCTCCCGCCCCACCCCTGCTATGTCACTCACCCCTGAGAAGGTGGTAGCTCCAGCTCCCTGCTGGCTCTAAGCCAAACCCTCCGAGCAAGCGATCCTTAGCTCCTGTCTTTCCTCACCTTCCGAATCCAACCCAGAGCCTAGCCAACCTTGCAAATGCGGCCTGACCTGGCCACTTCTCTCCATCATCACAGCTTCTCCTTGGCCTGAGTCACCATCGCCTCTCACTGAGATTATTACACCAGCTTCTCCCTGGTCTCCCGGCTTTCCCCTTCGTGCTCCCCCCACCCCTGAATCTAATCTTTGCAGTGCTCTAATTAGGCAGATCCATGTATAACCAAAGTTAGGTCATGCCCTTCTCTGCTCAGCACCTCCCATGGCTCTCACCTCACACAGTAAAACCAAAATGCTCGGTGGCTGTAAGGCCTTACCTGATTTGCTGACACTACCTTCTCCTTTTCTTCGCCTGTGACCTTGACTCCCTTCCTGTCTCCCTTCCCACGGGACCAGCCTCCTTGCTGTTTCTCCCACATTAAGGCCAGCTCCTGCCTCAGGCCTCTGCCTAGCTGTTCCCTCTGCTGGTACACTTTCCCCAGCTCACCACCTGGCGGCCCCCCTCACCCCCTTCAAGTCTGCACAAATGGCCTGTTTCTCAGCAAGTCCTTCCCTAGCAGCCTGTTTTAAAATGGGACCCTGCCCCAATATCCCATTCCCTGTGCACTTTGGAGTCTGGTTTTTGCTTTCCTACAGCATTTATCAACCTTTCAGTACACTCTATAACTTACCTATTTGTTAAACTATTGTTACCTGTCTACCCCTGCCACAGTATGATCTCCACAAGAACGAGGATCTTTGTTCACTTTGTTTATATCCCAAGTGCCTAAAAAATGCCTGGCACAGAGTAGATGCTCAAGAAAAATGGGTTAAATAAATCAACCACCGTAGTTTTATAGATAAGGCCAGTGAGGCTCAGGAACACTGAGTAGCTTGCCCAAGGATGCACAGGTAGCAAGGGGCGGAGCTGGGATTCAAATGCAGGCAGTCAAACAGCCTGCACCTATACATTGCATCTTGGTTCGAAGGCCGAGAGCTGGGGAGACAATATCAAATGTCAGTAGTGGTACTTAGGAGTGTTTGTTGCCCTGTGGAAATGCAAACACAGTGTTAACAGATATTTTTTTTTTCCCCAGAGAGGTTAGAATCCAAATCTGTATATGAGATGTATCCATTTTTAAACATTAGTATCTGTTTCAAAACTTGACTAAGCACTGAGCAAGATGAAACAGTTCCAGGGGCAGCTTCAACTCATGAGCTGAGGTGCACGACCTCTGACCTGGACACTGAGTTAGTGCCCAGGGCTGAGCAGGACCAGGGACAGAATTTCACACTGACAAAATGGTTCCAAAAGCGGAGGTGGACCTCCACCTCAGAGTATCTATGTTGCATTAGCTCTCCTTTCCAGCTGCCTAGTAGGTAACCAGCCCTGATCTATAACCCCAATAAATCCCAGGCCCCACAAAGCCCCATCCCCAGAGAATATCTCTTTTCGAAGAAGCAGAATCCAATAACCAAAGTTAATTCCCACCAACGCCAACTGTCACATGAACCCTTGAAGAATGGTAAAGGGGGCTGTTTCACTGTCACACTTTGCTAGTAGAGATGTGTACTGGGTTGAATACTGCTTCCCCAAATTTCATGTCCACTTGGAGTCTATGAGTGTGACTTTATTTGGAAATAGGGTCTTTGCTGATATAATAAAGCTAAAATGAGTTGCCACTGGATTAAGATGGGCCCTAATCCAATAACCGGTGCCCTAATAAGAAAGGGAGATTTGGCCATGACACACACACACAGAGGGCAGATGGCCACGTGAAGATGGAGACAGAGTCTGGAGTGACGTGTCTATAAGCCCAAGAATGCCAAAAGTTGCCTGTAACCACCAGAAGCTAGAAGAAGCATAAAAGTCTTCCTCCCGGGGCACTTGGGTGGCTCAGTGAGTGAAGTGTCTGCCTTTGACTCAAGTCATGATCTCAGGGTCCTGGGATCTTACTCCCTATTGGGCTCCCTGCTCAGTAAGGAGCCTGCTTCTCTCTCTCCCTCTGCCACTCCCCCTGTGTTCTATCTCTCTCTCTCTGTGTCAAATACACAAATTTAAAAATCTTAAAAAAAAAATTAAAAAGCCATCTTCCCTAAAGACTTCAGAGGGAGGATGACCTTGCCAACAACTTGATTTCAGACTTCCAGCTTCCTAAACTGGGACACAGTACATTTTTGTTGTTTGAAGCCACGTGGTTTGCAGTACCTTGTAGAGAAGCCCCAGGAACCTAGCACAGGGCGTAAATTGGTGCAGATTCCAAGAAAGGCAGTTTGGCAATATCAAAATGGAAAATACACATGCCCTTTGATCCCTCCCTCTTGTGCAGATATATTGGTAGGTTAAATTCCACATGTAGGAGCACCGCAGAATTGTTTGTAAGAGAAAACATTTGGAAACAACCTAAATGTTCATTGGCAGAGGACTAGTTAATAAAGTATGGCACATTTATACAGTGGAACAGAATGTCAAAATGAGAATATCTTTATGTACTGATCTGGACTGACCTTCAAGTTATATTGTTAGATGAAAAGGTGTAGGGTAGGGGCACCTGGGTGGCTCAGTCAATTAAGCATCTGTCTTGGGTCAGGTCATGATCTCAGGGTCCTGGAACCCATCAGGCTCCCTGCTGAGCAGGGAGCCTACTTCTCTCTCTCTCCCTCTGCCCCTCCTCCTACTAGTGCCCCCCCCCCAATAAATAAAATCTTTTTAAAAAACGTGTAGGGTGCAAAACAGTATGAATACTTTTAAACCATTTGTGGAAAAAGAAGAATATTTATGGACATTGCTTGTAGATGCCTAAAATCTCTACTGACTTTGGTCACCTCTGGGGAGGAGCCTGCAGAAAGGGTGGTGGGGAGAGGACGGGAAGAGAGACTAGCACTGAAGTGGGAGAGCTTGGTTCTTATCTCACAGATTTGAAGAATGAATCTTATGGACCAAGGAGAGTGAGGACAGTAATAGTTTATTAAGTAAGGATACAGAGAAAGCTCTCAGAAGTGAGAGGGGTCCTGACAAGGTTGCTGCTGAAGGCTTTCTGGCTGGCCTTTTATTGAGAACTTAACCAGGGACCCCACAGCCATGAGGTCTCTTTGTGCTGTCTGGAGAGAATGACATATGGCTGTTTTGGGGTCTGAGCAGTTTCTGTGGTTGCTTGGTAACCATCAAAGGAAGATACTCACTCCTTAACACTTTGGAGTGAGGGGCCAGATTTACATTTTTGTCTCTGTTTCTGTTGCCTTATCTCTGTTTACTTGGGAGAGTAGGAGCCTGCCTCTGGGCCTTTCAGGGTCCTTGGGATTTATGGGAGCCCAGAGATTTATGGGAGCCTGACTCTGGGCCTTTCCCTTATCTTTCCCTGCCTAGCCCCATCTGTCCCTAACTCATTCCTCCCCCTGGAATAATAACCTTAACTGCAATTAGGGATTGGGACAACAACCTCTCTGGCTGCTTCAGGCTGAAAAAGGGACGGCATAAAGGGTCAGCAGTCAGAGCATTCCCAAGGGTTGGTCAAGAGGTCCACAGTATGGCTCCCGAGAGATGTTGGAAGGCATGAAGTGCCACAGGTACTGACAAACACAGAAATACAAAATCCAAAAATATTTCGAAGAGTAAAATAGCATCTCTGAAATATTGACACCAGTTTCCAAGCCAATCAAACAATCTTGGAGAGACTCTGATTTTTGTCCA